TTGCTGCACGCACGCAAATCGCAATCGATTCTGATTTCAAGTTTCGCATTCACATTCGCATTGCACTGCCCATTGCAGCTGGTGATGGTGGGTCCATGATGAGCACGCTGCTGCACATTCATCTCATCCACCTTCTCCTCAACTGCAACATCCCTTCAACCCACCTCTCACATCACATCACATCACATCCCTTGACTTGCTCTTAGAGCTCCTCTCACTCTTTCTCTTGTCGCGAGCAAGCCAGCCAGCCAGTCAGCAAGCAAGCAAGCAAGCAAGGCCAGGCGCGTGATTCGCGCCGCTTACAACCGCATACACTCCCAACCTCTTCAAGCAACTCTCCCCCACCCAACCACACGCCAATCAAATGTCGCTCGGCGTAAAGACGGCTCACATTGCGTCGGCAGCAGCAGCAGCAGCAGCAGCAGCCTCTGCCTCCTCCTCCTCTTCAACATCGACACCACGTAAGCGCAACAATGATCATCTAGCAGCGCTCGACATGCAAGCCATGCAAGCCTTGCCAAGCACCGCCTCTTCCTCCAGCAAGGTCAAAACTCCGCGGGACAGCAAGAGGCGAGCAACGCACTCGCAGATCGAACGAAGAAGGAGGGAAAAGATCAACGAGTGTCTGATCACGCTTTGTCAAGTCATTCCAGCTTGCGTGAGGGAGGTGCAAGGAAGAAGAAGGGCTGCTGCTGCTGCTGCTCATGGTGATGATGATGATGATGATGATCGCAATGCCTTGCATCGAGGTGTTGCAGGTGCAGGTGCAGGTGCAGGTGCGGGTGCGGGTGCGGGTGCGATGGAGAGTGGAGAAAAGGCAAAGAGGAAGAGGGTGCGCAAACGTAAAGAGGGAAAAAAGAATGATGACAACAAGGAGGAAGAGCTGGGTCTGCACAAGCTGGAAGTGCTGACGCACGCCATTGGTGAGCTTGACGCATGTACTTGGACGAATGGGCAGGTAGGCAGACAGAGACCGACGGCGCGCTTCAAGTGCCCAGCCAGCCAGCCAATCACTTTCACTGACCCAATCCATCGCCCATCCTCGGCCTTCGGTGCAGACTACATCTACGAGCTGCAAGCACGCATCGCTGAGTTGGAGAGGAGAATGATGACATCGCATTCATACCCATCTCCATCTCCATATCCATCTGCCTCGCCCGCATTCACCCATTTCACCGCCACTCCTTCGCTGATGAGCGCATCCTCTACAGTGCTCACGTCCCCCATCATGTCCCTCTCTGCCGAATCTCCCATTCTGCGCAGAGGCAGCAGCAGCGGCAGCGGAAGCGGAAGCGGAAACGGTCTCGCGGCGTACAGCGTTAGCGGTAGCAGTGCGCATCCAGCAGCTTACAAACACGATGCGCGAAGACCGAGCACGTCGCATGTCAATATCAACGGTGCTACTCCCGTCTGGCCCATGTTGCCCAGCTCCGTTCTGCCTCTTCCTCCTCCCGCTGCTGCTGCTGCTGCTGCTGCTGCTCATTCCACCTCTGCCTACAGGCGCCACGACGATGGGCGGACGAACAGAGAAACCATCAAGACCTCTCCCTTCATCAACGCCTCCACAACCTCCTCCGCCACATTGCGGTCCAGCAGCGATTCGGCATCCGCATCCGCTCCCGCC